GTTGACACTTGAAGGGCTTCTCGCCGGTGTGGGTGAGCATGTGTCGCGTACGATTGTGTTTTCGGGTGAAGCTTTTATCGCATAGGTAGCAGGGGTAGGGCTTGTCTTGGACGCTCTCACTGTATCTATTGTTCGTCGTGACGGACTCGAACGAGTTGTGGCACGACATCGAGTTGGGCGACGACGTCGATGGACGGGGATTCCCGGGCGACCAATTGCGGTAAGTCGGTATCTTCGAGTCTGCTGGGATTGCTCCCGACGACGACGACGAGCCTAAGACTCTGTCCGTAGAGTGAGTCTTCATGTGGTTGCTGAGCCAATCTTTGCGACGGGTTGCGTACTCGCATAGTCGACACTTGAATGGATGGATGAGCCGATGGTTTATCATTTCGTCGAACGTGCTGAACTGTTGGCCGCATTCGGGGCAGGTGTAGGGTTTTTTCTTGGTGTGGGTGCGCATGTGTCGCTTAAGATTGCGTTCGTAATCGTAGCTATTATTGCACAGGTCGCAGGGGTAGGGCTTCTTTCCGATGTATTTGAGCTTGTGTCGCGTACGACTTTGTTTACGGGTGAAACTTTTATTGCACAGATTGCAGGGGTAGGGCTTGTCCTGGGCGCCCTCACTGTTGCTATTGATCGTCGTAAAAATTTACATCAATAAAATTTTTCAAATAAATTACGGTTTTGCTGTTTGCATGCTCTTTAAATTATTTTCACAGTCAGTTTCATATATTAATAATGGATAGAGCTTATTGTGAGCTCAGTGTATTTGAAGTTATTGATTCGAGTTTACGTATAATTGATTCAAACAAATAGTGTATATTGGATTTTTTACCAAAGTCATAAAAAAAATTTAAGAAGAGGCTTCAGTCCGCTCAGTATTAAATGGAAACATTGGACTTCATAATTAAAAAAATTAGCGTCATAAAATAGCTCTTATCAGAAATACCATTTTGCATCGAATTAATATGAGTTTGGAGATTAATTACTTTTAGAAAATTTTTTTCGCGCGGGGCGTGAAAGTAAATGCCTTATGTGGATTTGAAGAGTGACTTAATGCGCGAATTTATTTCCGTATACATCACAGGTTTGGCTGATACCTTGGTTCAATGAGTTCACCATCGTGGTCTGGCTGCGACATTTCGTGTTGATCTACTTGTGGTGCAATTTGGTCTCGAGGCAAAATTGTCTCGTTGCCGGCGAATTCGACTCGAGCCTGGGCTGCCTCGGGCTGCTCCTGACGAACAGGTTCTGCTGGGATTTGGTCTCGAAGTTGCTGCTCGTTGGAGTGATTGGAGGCCGGCCTCGTAGCCGGGCTAGCTCGACTCGAACCTGGGCGGGTCGGTCTGGCTTCCGACGACGAACTTGGGACTCTGTCCGTAGAGTGAGTCTTCATATGGTTTCTGAGCCAATCTTTGCGACGGGTTGCGTACTCGCATAGTCGACACTTGAATGGATGGATGAGCCGATGGTTTATCATTTCGTCGAACGTGCTGAACTGTTGGCCGCATTCGGGGCAGGTGTAGGGTTTTTTCTTGGTGTGGGTGCGCATGTGTCGCTTAAGATTGCGTTCGTAATCGTAGCTATTATTGCACAGGTCGCAGGGGTAGGGCTTCTTTCCGATGTATTTGAGCTTGTGTCGCGTACGACTTTGTTTACGGGTGAAACTTTTATTGCACA